AGCAGGGCGGGGGGAGGAGGGGGAGGGGGCGGAGGAATCTGGCAGTGCGTAGGGAGCGCGTGAAACTTGGGATTTCATGCCCCATTCGACCCCGTGCGGCGCGTGCGCGTGCGTGCGTGCGCCTTTTGTTTTCTGTGCTTCATTGCAGTCGTGAGCAGCACGCGGCTCAATGCGCGTCAACCCCAGACATATACAACGTTATATTGGCCGATTCTTTTGCACGTGTTTGTACTTTTCAATAAATATGCTGTGTCCAACGCGGAGTGTCCCATTCCGTTAGATTTTGCATTGTGAAAAACAGCTCACTGTTGCAAAAAAGTTATCGTGCTTTTACGAAATTTCCTTTGTCAATTTTCTAGTACGAAAAACTACTTTGTCTTTAACAAAAGTGTGAAAGAACGTTACGAACATATCTTTATACTGTGAAAGGTGTAGCTGCCCCTCTCTCCATCACGGCACTGACTACATATACTTGTTCCAGGTCCTAGCGGCCTTGTGACGTGTCGCGGTTCCCATCCTGTTTCATGCTGCGCCTGAAGGTGACGAGGCTCGACTCTGACACCGGGTTCGATTCTCGGCGAAAGCGGGCCTTGGGACGCCCCTATTTGTGGCCACAATGCCGGCGGCAAGAGTCAGCTTAAAGCCTTCAGGGTGTAAGCAGAAGGCAACGGCCTGCTCTGCACATGATCCCCAAGTGCATCTGAACGAACACAATGGGGCCTGATTGCCTACCCTCCAGACGCCCTCAGCTACAACTTGCCCCGGCGTTACCCACGTAGTATGCGTGTCGGGCCACGGCCACGTCCCTGTTTGTAGCGACACAGTCGTAGCTACAACCGTCACGGCCACTGGCAGCTTTTATTAGAACGGACTGTAGAAATAAGTCCGCTCGGCATCGTAAATGCTCACGCCCCTATTCCCCTAACCGGACAAAAATAAAAAAAATAAAAGAGGTACTTTCCTCATCCCACCGCATGACGACTTCTTTAGTTCGTAAAGGGATCAGCCGAACCACAGTGGTCAGACAATACTCCCGAGGTTTGTGACCAGAACTCTTGACGCGTACGTTGGTTCCCTGGGCTGGGAGCCGGTCCCCGCGCCCGCGCGTAAGACAAAACGCGGGTGCGAAATCCTGGCCCGCGGACAGCCCGGACAGCCGTAAAGCGTGTGGTGGGAGTTGGGTACCACAGTTGGGGCCGATCCAGGAAAGCGTTGCCTGCCCTCCACGCGTGTTCAGCGACAATCACGCTTAGATTTACACGGCGTCACTTCTTAGCTTTCGAAAGGATTTTATGAGCCTGGGGTCAAAAGGAGCCTAAACCCAAAGTCCCCGTCACGTCAGACTCCTTAGAGAGAAGCCGTGGCCTACCTCGCAGGCGCCCAAGCGACGAACTCGTGTCACGGCGACAAGTGGTAGTAGACAAGTCCCACGTCCCTGTTCATGGACACAGAAATGTGGTCACATACGATGTGCGACGCCACCAGCCACTCGCCCCTTTTGTAGTTAAACAGTTGTAGCTACAGTCGACATGACCGCATATGCAGCTTCATCCGAACGAAAACTGTCGGCCCTAAGGTCAACTCCCAGGCGGGGCAAGTTTTTTCTTTGTCGCTTTTTGTCTCCCGTTAGGCAGGACCGAGCTCAGCAGACCTCAGCCCCGGAGGAGCAAGCTGGAAGCCGAGCGTGTGAAAGCGTGATCGTTGGCAGATCGTGGGAATGGTCGGTAGTTCGGATCCCGTCCGCGATCATTTTTCAGCGGCGACTTCAAAACGTTCTATCGCCCAGACACTTGGGCGCTCTGGGCGGGCCGCCGGCTTCACACAGCAGCTTGGCGGGTTGGCCTACCTAGCGCGCGGCAGGCGCCAGCCAGCAGCGTCTCCTCGTGTAACGCTCATCGTGGGGACAGCTACAGGGAGGGAAACAATGAGTTAGCCCTGTCATATTATACTGACCGCCAGCTGGAACACTTCTTTCGGTCCCCGTGCCCCCTTGAAGGCCTCGAGCTACACGGCGTTCCTCGCATGGTCCTTCACCCACGGGCATTTCTTTTCACGAGATGGGTTCACTTGGACTACTAGGGCTTCACCGAATTTAATATCTTGAATTTCGGCGTGGCGTGTGAAAAATGAACTAGTTGCTTCTGACAGGTCACCGAAATTCATGTCGAAACGCGCCAGAATTTCGGCGAAGTATTTTAAGGTAACGTCTAAATATTGGCCAACTGTACCGAAATGGTCCGTATTATGTGTTCGAAATTTTAGGAACTGATGTCTGCTTCAACCGCAACTTGACCGAAAATATTTTAAAGCAGCTAT